CAAAAGTAGTAGTATTTAGATAAGAGATTGTTCTGGCTGAGCTCTCTTAGTCTTTGTTGGTGACCAGTGGGCGAGATACCAGCTGCAGTTTTATCACTTCATCTGAAAGTATTTATTGTTAGGAAATTGTATTCTGTCCTAGTAAAACAATTAATTGGACACATTTTTTGGGAACTCTTTAGAGTAAGAATGACCATGTCTCCCAGTTTTAGATTGTTCATTATCATTTTTTCAGCAGTCAAAATGCTCTTACTTTATTAGAAGGAAATGGTATATAGTGGTTCTAATTATTACTGTTATTTCTGTTTCATTGTCCAGGTGTCTCCAGCAATTATAAGCTGATGTATTTGTTTCCTGCAATTATTCACTTTATGGTTCACCCCTATGCTCTGCATTTTGATAGTACAGCTTTAATATATTATTTATTTCCATATTATTTATTAATTCTATGTTATTGAAATATATAATTTATATCCATCCAGACAACACAATGTGGAGGACTGCCTTAGCAGTGGGCGTAACAAGTGCCTTGTGGGCTGCAGGGAAGCAAGGCCTCAAGGTCTTTGATATTTTGATACCATCACTAAGTGGATTACAGCTTGCCTCAGTTGCTGCTGGCATCTATATTACTACAGGAGGTTACTACACACTTTGGCTTGCTTATAATACTTTACCTAGGGATATCACGTAAGTGAGCTGTTGATTTTCCCTGCTGGTTTTTGTAGAACATACTCTTGTGGTTATTTATCCATAGTGCCTATATCATACTTTTGAAAAAATGCCTTTAACAGAAACATAGAATAAAAGAAATTCATTTGATGATCCCAAATTGAATGTTTCTCTTTCAGGGCAGCATGGAGGTATGTACAGTGTCACATAAAACTGAAAACTGCATCCTTTAGGAATACCAGCATCCCAAAGATGTTCATGGAGAATGTTCGAAGAAATCCCAATAAAGTTGCACTCATCTTTGAAGATCAAAAGTGGACATTTGCTCAGGTAAGACTTGGTGCAAGGTAATTATTTGGATATAGATATGCTTGCCATACTTTCATTATGTAAAAATTATTGTAATTCCCTTAACTATCAATGGATTATCATCCCCGAATCATCAATCTGTCATAGGTGATTATCAGCCAACAGGTGTATATTTGCCTCGCTAAATAGATGAAGAGAGGCATTCCTCTCTGCAATCACTAGTTGTGTATTTTCTTTTACTTTTAAGTGATTAGGAAAAAGAAAAAAAAATATTTACAAATATATTGTACATATTTAAAAATTTAAGGTTATAGAAACACCCCACCTTAGATATTTTAGGTCAAAGAAACATCCCACCTGGTTTAGATTTCTCAAAACTACCCTATGCTAGACTTTATTAAGATCATTTAGCTAGTGATAGCATAATTGTTTACCTTTTTTCTATATTTGATAGTTTTTTGAACAACTCATTGAGTTAATCTCAATCACTAAATTGGATTTATTATACAAAACTAAGAAAAAATGCAGAATAAATGTATTTTTGCCATTTTTTATTACCTCATGCTGCTAACATTATTGTGAATTCAGGCTTATCATAAATCATCTATTGTTGTATTTAGAAAATCTACATCTATTTTTTTCAAATCATAAGGAAATGGTAATTATGTAATTGTAACCATTGTCGTTATCTGATAAGCATTTTGACAGGTCCAGAAGCAGTTATAGTAATGTACATCTAGTGATCATCAGTTAATGTTTGTTTTTTTTTCTCCCTTTTTTGCATGTCTGTAGATTGATGAGTACAGCAACCGTGTAGGTAACTTCATGGTTGAGCAAGGTTTCAAACATGGCGATGTAGTTGCACTTTACATGTGGAACCGGCCAGAATATGTATGCACATGGCTTGGTTGTGCAAAGGTGAGACAAGAATGGTTTTGCATCTTCATCCTGTCTTATTTTTTGTTGAATTGTTATTTCATCATTTTATACAAACTGTGAAAATGATGATTGTGATATTACTAATGCCATGAAGAGGAAGTTGTCGTTTGATTATTTATTTTTATTTACCCTTTTTTTTTATTTTACCTTTGTCAGTCATTTTGATGTATAATGAAATCACAAATTTCAACATCTCCTTTTAGGTGGGTGTGGTTCCAGCTCTGATTAACTTCAACTTGCTGAACGATTCACTCATCCACTCCATAAAGGTGGCACACTCAAAAGCACTTATATGTGGATGGGAAGTGCAAGAAGGTACAAAGGATGTTCTTGAATTATTGGATTTTTTTCTTTCTGACCAAAATTTTAGAATAGGTAGTAATGTAAGAATCATAACATTTGAATTGTATTGATTCTTATTATGATATTTAGCCTGTGTTAAAATGTATAAGGTTATTATGAGGAAATACACAGATACCCAAAAAACTTTTAGAAATATTATTAATATTCAAACATTGCAGCTGTGAAGGACGTCCAGGACCAACTAGCATTACCAATCTTTGTATCAGGACTAGGAAATGAAAAGCCCTCATTGACTGGTAAGTTATTTATTAGTAGATGTATTTTATAATTTTTCATGATGTGTATGATGTTTAAGGATTTCCTTGAATTAGTATTACAAAATATATTCCTCAGATATAGACTACATACAATGTAGCCAAAGATGTAAGTTTTCTGTTTTGTTTAATCATTTTTAATTATTTATGCCCAGATCTATTTATTAGACCAAGCATTTTTATTTTGAATGAATGTTTTTAGTGTGAAGAATCTTATTTTTTCAGGTGTCAAATGTCTGGATTCTCTGCTTAATCAGTCAAATCCAACACCACCACCTCAGATCGACAATGTTGATATTAAGGATAAACTCATATATATTTACACATCTGGCACTACTGGTTTACCTAAGGCAGCTGTCATCAAACACTCCAGGTATTTTTATCACAAAGATATAATGGGGGAGAGTATAAAAATGCTTCATCAATTTACTGCATGCCTGTATCCATATCTGTAGATTGTTACAAGATATTCACTCATTTCTTTCATGTTCTGTATTCTATAGGTATCTTTTCTTCTGTGCTGCAGTCCATTACATGGTTGGCTTAAGTGATGATGAGGTTATATATAACCCACTACCCTTATACCATACTGCTGGAGGTATGGTTGGCATGGGGCAGGTTAGTGTTAAGAAATATTTTGTGTATTAAGACTGACATTGTCATATATATACCTGTTATATATGCATATCTGATTTTGAAGTAAATACAAAATTAGCTATCTATATGGGGTGCCAAACTATACAGTTACAAGAATAATTTCTAATGCATATTTTCCACAGGTCCTGCTATTTAATAACACTGCAGTTATTCGGCGCAAGTTTTCTAAATCACAATATTGGATTGAAGCCAAGAAGCATGGTTGCACAGTAAGTTTTCCATTAAGGTTATATTTTTTACAAATGATAGTTGTTGGGCAATATTTCACAATGTGTTTTATATAATGTTTTTGTTGAAAAAGTTGCTTAGAACATTTTATATCTAAGGAAGAACTTGTATATAATATTATGTTGACAATGTCCCTTTCTCAAAGCTAAATTGTTAGGAAACCAAATTTTTACTATTTTGAAATTACTTAAATACTTGCTCATTTACTCTGAAAGTCACATATTGCCAATTGAGAAGTCTGAATATTGACTGGAATTATAGACTTATTGCCATAGAGAAATCACAAAGGGAAACCATGTTTTGAAGGAAATCTTGCTTTTATCTATTGAATCCATTACAAAGACATTTACATAACTAAATTGAAGTTTAGATGTATATATGTATATTCTGATATCTGACAAAATTATTACTGTGATTGTAATTTCCTTCCCAGGTGGGTCAGTATGTTGGGGAACTTTGCCGCTACCTTCTTACCAACTCCCCACATCCAGAAGAGAAACAGCATAAGGTGTGTTGTTTCTTTATTATTCTTTGTCTTTTTATGATTACTGGATATTACTATGAAAGGCAAAAATAAAAATTGTTCTATTGTCTTATTAACAATACTTTTTACCAGTGTAAGGTCATGTAATTAACCCACCAGCAACAGATACATGCACTATTCATTGTGGATTTGTATTATTAATTTGTTTTGTTAATGAATATCTTTAAAGGCATTTAATTACCAAGGGAGTCAGTTACTAGGCATACATGATCTCACCTGTTTACCCCTTTTCCTAAACAGAATGGAATAAAGTTTTTATTTCTATTACTGTTACTATCAACTTCATTATTGTTATGAATTTTATATAGTTGATATTGTTCTTAATGTTACTGTTATTGTTATGTTATTAGCAATGATAAGAGTAATAAGAATAAAAAAAAAGATCTTTCCAAAAGTTCAGGGTATGTGGATAAACATGTGAGATCTGGTGAGTGCTTTCAGAGAGTATGTGTGTAAACAAAATTGATAACACAAAACCGTAGTGGGAAGTGTTTATATATGTGCACTCCTAGCATCACCCGGTTAATGTTTATTAGTATTTGCTCTGCTATCAGACCGTCCTTTGGTCCTGTCTGACATTATTCTCCAATGTTTTTATTACTTTTACCATTTTATATAATTTGATTAGATGAGGAAGAATCTGCAAACTGTCACAGATCAGCGTGCAAACTTCAGATTTATCCCACACTAAAGATTATTTTGCAACTTTTTTTTTTTTTTTTTTTTTTTTTTTTTTTTTTTTTTTTAATTAATATAAAGATAAGTATTTATGTGCTGAACTATTTAAAGCAATTTCAGAAGTAGCTACAGCACATGGGTACTTGCATCATCACTTGGTTTCATCATTCTGTAGCTGATAAATTCATGCTTTTATCTTTGGCTGCATCATTTACACTTACACTTTGTGGGCCTGGCTTTTTGTGTTTCCTAAGAAGATAGCAATTACAAACTCTTATTAATTTCGAATGCTTATTTTTGTGGTACCATTTACTTATTGCTCCTTCACCCTGACTAGCACAATTTCAAGTAAGATTTCATAATAAGTTATGAAGTATGCAGTTAGTGGAAATTAGACAAAAGGAGAAGCAGTGTTATTGTATTAAATGCTAATTCATACCTTATGAATGTTGCAGGTAAAGGTGATGTTTGGCAATGGTGTAAGAGAAAACATTTGGGAAGAATTCACAACAAGGTTCAACATACCTCTCATTGCTGAGTTTTATGGAGCAACAGAAGGAATTGCAAATTTAAGTATGTTAAGCATTTTACAAGTTCTGATGTACAGCATTCCTTCATATTTTATGCTATAAAGAAAAAAAATAGTATTTAGAGAGGTTGGTCTGTTTTACTCTCTTCATTACAACAAGTGAAATAAAAATATTATCCTATACTTTCAGTTAACATGGAAGGTAAACATGGTGCCTGTGGCTTCCTGTCAGTCCTGTTCCCTAGCGCCATTCCTGTGTACCTGGTCAAGATTGATGAAGAGACTGGTGAGCCTGTAAGGGATAAAAATGGACTTTGTGTTGTGTGTAAACCAGGTAGAGTATCATCATCACCTGTTGTCCCTTTTCCTCCCCTTTTTTTCTTTCTTTCTTTCTTTCTCTCTTGCTTGCTTTCTTTTTTCCTTTCTTTTCTTTTTTAAATACTGCCATATACATTTCATATACAAAGAAATCTAGTTTCATATCAGATGCACAATAAATCTGAAAGCTTTATTGACTTTTTAATGCTTACAGGTGAACAAGGTGAACTTGTAGGTATTATCAAGAAGGAACATCCATTCCGTGAGTTTCATGGCTATGCAGATGAAGCAGCTACAAAGAAAAAGATACTGAGGAATGTACTGAAGCCAGGAGACACAGCCTTTAAATCAGGTATAAGAGTATTGCAGTTTAGGATTAAATTTGTTTTCAGATCTTACATTTTATCATTTAATTGCTATGGTGTAATAGGAGAAGGATAGAAGTCATAGACAAATCTCCCATTTTTATTAATTTTGATATATGTCAGTTTATCATGTGCCTATAAACCTCATTTTGAATATTTAGGAAATGGCTTTTCTACTTGTTTCTCACACTTCATCTCCTACTTTTTATATTTTTATTTTTATGCAAGTTAACCCACTTGCAACGGGCGTCCCACATATGAAACACCCGGAAAAATGAACATTACCAGACGTCCCGCCAGTGCGACGCTAGTTTGTGCTTTGATTTTGTCACCCATGGCGGGTGGCGTATGGGCAGGTTGATGGACTGGCCCACATGCCGATTTTGTAGCCACCTAGAAACAATTATTTTTGGCTTGAAAATGTACTGGTGCTAGTGGGTTAAATTCTATAAAAATTTTGCCCCTAATTTCCTCAATAATTAATTTGTTTTAAACATTCTTTCTGAGATAGCTTTTGGTAAAAGATGGTTATAGTGCAGGCTTTTTATATTTCCCATTCAGTACAGTTTGATTCAGAACGGCATAGAATTCACTGATGTAATGCCAAACAGAATACTAGAGGTAGAATTAAGTGATTTATGAAATATGCAAATTGCCATTCTGTAATATATTTTTAACAAAAATTTTGTAAAGATATCATATCTATTTAATTCCTTGCTGCCATAAGGCATGTACATACCTGACATGGCTGTTATGGACAAAGTAGCATGTGGCATCATATCACAACCATTCCCATGCTGCTGGCTCATTGGACAGAGCTTGTTTTACTCTGATAATAGCAGCATCATTTTCATGGTAAAACATTAGCATCTAGAGTGAAGGTGAACCTTCAAAAATTTTATATGTTTTAAAATCATATCAAAGCATAAGCTTTAAGGTGCCTAATGCTACCCACAAACTACTGAACTACACAGGCACAAACAAGGAAAATTGTCGATGCACACCATGGAGTAATCTTATGGCAAATTTTTCTCAGAAACAAAAGAAAAAGTAGAATATCAAAAGAAAGATAAAACTGAACAAACCACTTCTCTATACCTTTGAGAATTACCAGGCTTGTACTAGCTGAACCCCACATACAATCTTTTAGAAAATAATGTACAATAAGATTTAGCCTAAGTAATTAGCAAAATCATATCAATATTCATAGCTTTAGTAAGTAGTGTGGATTTCAGTATCTAATCTCATTTCTACCATCAGGTGACCTCCTTGTTCAGGACAAATTTGGCTATCTCTACTTCATGGACCGAACAGGGGACACTTTCCGCTGGCGTGGAGAAAATGTCTCCACTACAGAAGTCGAAGGAGTTGTATTGAAGGCTACAGACCACAAAGATTCTGTTGTGTATGGTGTTGAGGTTAGTTACCAAGTTGGTTAATAAATATCAGTTAGTCTAATATATGATCATGGTGCAAAGAAGATAGATGCACTCACATGCTTGAACACACCAGAAATATACATATTTGTTTGCACTTCAAAATTTAGTAATAGTGTCACAGATGCCATGTCATGCAGTTTAGCTGTGGAGTAATTCTCTGCTTTAAAGGGACCATCCCGGGAAATGACCACCTTTCCCTACTCATTTCACCATAAAAAAAAAAAAAAGAGAGAAAAAAAAATCGGTTGGAGATAACTCATTGATTCTTTTTGCATAATATAGAGCATAGAATTGCGCTTTGTCTCATATATTATTTTAACCTCACATCCCCATACAGGAGAGGGGGAGGGACACCCCAAAAAAGTTTTTTTTTTTTTTTCGATTTTTTCCCCCCCCCTCTTTGGTACATCATCACGCCCTCAGTTTTTTCCTGAATATCTATCTTAGTCTAAGGCCGTGTAACTCCCCCCCTTTTTGTGTGTGTGTGTTTGTTTGTTTATTTGTTTGTTTATTTGTTCATAAAAGTAGCTATTTTCATCTGAAAAGTTTAATAAATGCATTTTACCATAGAGACAACTAATCTAAACCAGATGATTTTCGAGGAGGATTTTATGTACATGAACAAACACGCATAAAGTTCCTCATTTAGTAGGCCTGCACCGACTTTCATATCTAAAGGAATAAAATACATTAGTTATCCCTCTCAAACCGTTTTCTTCAATAATTGTCGATGTCAACAGATTGCGTATGGGAACGAGTGTGAGTTGGTGATTAGCCATTTGCACCCATTATCTTTACTAAGAAGTGCATAAAATCATGCAGACGCCTAGGTGTGGTGGGATATTTGCGAATTTTTGGTACCTAAGACCTACAGTAACATCTAAACGTAATAGTTTTTATCGGAAACGAACAAAACAAAAGGGATAGCCTTTTCAACTTTAGACGAAGACTGCACACAAACGAGCTCAAAATTCCATATAGTTTTTATTTCGGAGCACATATTACTATTATCATCTTCAATATGAAATAATCTGTATTTCGCTTATACATCCGAAGTTCAAAAATCCAACATTTAGGTAACATTCATATTGAATTAGTTTTTACAATGTATACGGCATTTGATTATTACCAATTTCAAATCAAATCAAATTTACCCATGCTGTGGTGTACCGACTGTTGAACGAAATGTAACGGAAATATTTCAGTCCTTACTTATAAGGCTATTTTCAAACATTAGTGCTCCGTATATGATATACGTACAGATTACTTCGTAACCTACAACATATTACCAGCGAGTCTTGATTGAAACATATTTTGTGTGTAAAAGGACACAAAAGTTAATAAATAAATCAAGGTGATATAATTCTTTTCTGATATTGGTATAAAAGTGTTCCTTGAACATTCACAAACTCATATTTATGCGCAATGTCATAATCAAATGCCGTATACACAATTGCAGCAAGCAGAAGTCCACACAGGTGTACCTGGGCTCTCATTAGTGACGCATTTGCCTAGGTGCTGAGTGGATCTCACGTTGGCTGCAAGACAACGAGCCATAGCAGGCGTTTAATAGTCGTTTGGTAGTTTCCTCATCCATGTACCTATGCTATATGCTAGCTAACTCAATTTGACCCTCTGTCTCCCCCCTCATCTGGGCCGGTCCCCTTAATGAATCTAGCTTTCAAGCATAATGGCAAATCAAGTAGTATTTATATTACTTTGTCCAGCTAAGGACCCATTTACCCAAATATTGATTTGTTATTTTTACTCATTTTATTACTCATATGACAATATTTTGATTTTGATTTTGGTGTTCCTCATTTTATAGTGTACATTTTTTCTTCTTTTTTTCATAGGTTCCAGGAGCAGAGGGGAGAGCTGGAATGGCAGCTATTGTTGACCCAGAAGGAGAGATTGACTTAGAAGATTTCTTAAAGAAGATTAAGAAATCTGTGCCACCATATGCTCAGCCTTTGTTCCTCAGGCTCCTTGATCATATTTCTGTAACGGGTGAGTTTCCTTCTGCTCTTCTTACATCAAACACTTACAAAGACATCTGAAGAACCAATAAAAAGCAAAACATAAATAAGTGTACAGTTGAAAAGTTTTACTATTGTTTTTCATTTTCTAATTTGCCTTTAAGTACAGGGAATAAGAAATGAGATGATACCATATACTTGGGAACAATATTCTATCACTGATAATATGTAGCCATAATGGATTATAATAAATAGTGCTTTCATATGATTATTTGGATATATTTCATATGATTTAAAGAAAACTTTTTTTTTCTCTCTTCTCTTTCTTTCGTTCTTTCATCAGTTTATAACGAGAATTTTTGAAGTCCCCAATATGGTTCAAGATAGCGATTGACCATTCACTGCCACTGAATAGGGATGTAGAAATGAAAATTAAATTACTTGTCTTATTATAAAGAGAAAAAAGTCTTAAAGACACTGACAGTCAGTCAGAAAAAGGAACTGTATTGAAGACAGTATTGACACTTAATTTTAGTAACAACTTGAGAAATAAACTATGATATAGTGATCAGAAATGTATTTTTCCACATCCTTTATCTCTCATAGAGTGGTAGAGGATATATTTCTCTGTATATTCTTTGTACATCATGAAGTTCTTGTCATTTTATTAATAGAGTTTATGTAGGTTAGTAATATTATATTTCTAATGGTACAATAAATCTTTTTTGTTCTTAGTAACTCTATGCTTATGATGTGTTTCCTATTGTTCATTTGTTTATTAAGTGTTCCATAGCAAATATCACTCTAATTCTGACCAACTTAATAGTAATTATTTATTGATGATAGCTATAATTATGTGCTGACAGCATCACTCAACTCTGCAATTAATTTTGCTTAGTATTTTGAGGGCTTGGAGACCCTGAAAAAAATCAGTTCTTAGCCATCTTCTTTGCTTTCAAGTTATAAGTATAAGCTATATCATGCTCATTCATCAGATTATTTAGTTTTTTAAAACATTTTTTCTTTGTTTGTTATCAGGGACATTTAAGCTGAAGAAATTGGAGTTACAGAAGGAAGGATATAACCCCAACATAATCAAGGATTCCCTCTACTTCTTAGACAGTAAGCAGGGTAAATATGTGCCTCTTGACAAAGACCTTTTTGAAAAAATAAAGAACTGTCAAGTTGGTCTTTAAACCTATATTAACCAAATAACACCGGGTAAAATTTTTGGAAAGTGGACATGATCGCAGGTTTATTGGCTGGCATCAACAGTTTTCCCAGCTTGCACCCGGCTCGTTCAGTAGTCTGTGGGCAACATTAGGCACTTAAAAGCTTGCATTTTGATACAATTTGTAAAAATATAAATTCATAAATTCATGTTTGATGCGATGCCATCCGCTATTTTTTCCACAATAGCCATGGCATGCCACCCGGCAGGAATTGGTTAATCGGGACTCAGGAAGTGTCAGCAATCCCAGAGCCATATTTTTTAGGTCTTGGTAAAATCCAGGAATCCTAGAACCTCATTTAGTTGAAGTTAGTATATGAAGGTACACTTTGTTCGTTATTGCATTTTTGTTCCTTCTTCATGAAATATGCAAGCTAGCCTTCAGAGAAAATGAACTGAGGCCTCATTACTCTTTAAGATTATCTTGTTATTCTACAATCTAGCAGTTGATATAAAGAATATGAATATGTTTAAGTTCATGCATTTTTAATGTTTATGATATATATTAATAGCTGTATTTATTTAGTTTCTGAAATAGTTTCACAGATTGAAGGGAATGCTATTGAAGTCAGTCTGCATAGCAAATTTTATTACAGCAGATATTTTCTAACTAATTCATCCCAAAGAATCATGCCAAAAGTTGTGAAAAGGATGTGCCATAGTTGTATATTACACCTTACCCAATTTGACAAGACAATGGAGTTCATTTATTTCATATAGTCTAGCTATATTGAAGTAATACATTTAACTTGAGTGTGCAAGTTTATTTATACTCAATTCTTAAGAAGGGAATAAGTCAGTTTTTTTAAGTTTTATGCATATTTTTCTGTGTTTTAAAAAGTGTAAAGAAAAGATGTAGAAACTTCTACTTGATCACATATCAGAAATATTTCTGCATTTATGTTTTCAGCAATCCATTTGACTTCACCATTTATTATTATAATGCTGTGATAAAAGTGTGTAAACATTCACTGATACTGCTGAAAAAACAGCTGTCAACTTTATTATATGTACCCTCACTGTAGCTCATATAGTATTTGCTTGTAAGGAAAATGTTGAATTCAGATATAATGTATTCAGATTCTTCTAACTAAGACTTTGTATGTCAACACTGTATAGATTTATCTGCTTTATTTATATATTTGATAAAACTCTTTTCACTATGCTATGGAATACAATTCATGTAAAATATGTATACTTCTCTGCTGCTGAATTATGATGCCTCAGTAACTGCTCAATAACCACAACCTGGGGTACTCATAGTTCAGGTCAAATCATGTTTTTGGTCAGGTAGAACACTATAAACCAAAGGAATTCTGTGAATATACAATATATTTTGAATTAACTGATATATGATAGTGAATTCCATGGGTACCTCATAAAAGTTCTACAGACAAGCAAGAGGTTATTTCAAATGATAGGATGTAATATATGTTCAGATGCCTTAAACTAAAATTAAATGCAATAATATGCTTCCACTGAAAGTCACTTACATTATAAGGGAAAAAAAATTAACCTTAGATATAATTGTGCTTGTATTTGCATGTTTACATATGTTCATCATGCACTTTTGCTTTTGTGTAAGAATGCATTAAATATTCAAATGAAAATAAGTTACCTTAGCTTGAATAGGTGCTAGTAATACATGAGTCTTTGCCACAGATGTCCAGAAAAGTAGTTATGTATTACCATTATACCCCATAGTAATTTTCCCTTGTTTCTTGTCATTTTGAGTACAAAAGAAGGTGCCTTGTTTCATTCCTGTGTTATAGAATTTAACCAAAGAAGTTGGTGATAAGTAACAGGTTTCTGGTCATTTTGATCCAAAGTGGTTGTGTTACTTTTGCTGAAGAACAAGGGACTGCCTCTTTATTTTATGAAGTCATGGAGTTGCATACAGTTGATGAGGACTCACTGCTTTTTTATGATAGTTCAAGTTAAAAGTTTCAGGTTTGCCTTTACTTTGACTTTGTGTTATGCTGTAGGTAATTCAGAAATCTGTGACATTATTACATTTCATGTAAATTATCAGTTAAAATTCTTTAATACTGCTTGCTATGGTACAGAAAATTTACTTTTACTTCTAAAATATCTATTGTATTTTATGATTTGTTTAGATGTGCCCCCCCCCCTTTTCTCTCTCTCAGTGTGTGTGTGTGTGTGTGTGTGTGTGTGTGTGTGTGTGTGTGTGTGTGTGTGTGTGTGTATGTGTGTGTGTGTATGAGTGTGTGTGTGCATGAGTGTGTGTGCGTGCACGCGCATGTGCGTTTGTTGGTTTGTTTTCTGAGTAGGGGTGGGCGGTGCATGCATATATCTGTTTCCTCGATCACACATGACAATAATAAAGTGTTAGAAAAATATATATATCAAATATACTACAAGTTTTGTAGTGTAATATTTTTTTCTTTTATTTCCTTTTTTTATTAATATTAATGAATACTTTTTTACTATAGGATTTTGCAATGTAATGAAGTACACCTGTAAACCATCTTTCAAATTTGATTATGAAAAGTTTATTTAATTTATATACAATTTTTTATAAAGATGTAAATTGAATTTAAGTTCTGAAAGTATTTAATTGTATTATTTATGTTTTCTACTATAGTATGTAATTATTATTATTACTTGAAATATCATTTATCATTTTTAAGGGTTTGCTTATTTACTTTTTAATTATAGAAATTTCCAAATTATAAATGAAAAAAAAAATGTAAATTACATTTATTTTTTGTAACATATGTGTTAAGAAATATTTATTCCTTTTCCCATACAAAAAGATATTATTCTGGAATGTGCAAGTATGACAGATTGTATTGAAATAAATGTTTTTGGCATTATTTTGCTAATTTCTGCTTCAGGTGGAATTAGTGTATTTTTATGTTTGCTTTTATTCTACACCATTTTTTTGCCATTTTATTTCTGCTATTCATTAATTCATTTATGAAAGTCCAGATTACTTCAAGGAAATCTTAACTGTTCATCATTAAGAAAAAGACAATTAACTAATTCAGACTAATACAGCATTATTTTCTTCAGTGAATTTGCTGCTTATTTTTGGCTTATATTTTTATTTTGTGAGAACGTGATAGTTTGTTGTGCTTCATTTTGTTTACAGCATACCAGTTATCTTTTTTTCCCAGTATTTTTCATTTTATTCTGTTGTATGGACCCATATTACTGTCTGAGCAATCATTTCAATACATATTCCTTATAGGTTGTACAGATGGTTTTAGGAACAGTGATATTAACACAAACAGGAAAATGTTTTTTGATAGGTGTCTTTACCTATCTACATCTGAGACTTTTTATGTTTTCTAGTTTGTGATTCGATTTAAGAAAATAAATGTATTCAGAGCTTTCATCCCATTTTATTTTACCCTTATTTGTTTCTCTGGAAGAATATAAGGATTTCAATTCATTTGGAAATACAAGTTGAAATTAATAACAGTGCAAGCACCTGTGGGTAACAATAAATTTGTGAACATAATAACTTAAATATTAATAGTTTTACTAAAAACAAAGACTCATAGTTGGTGATATCTATGTTACTTCCGTTAATACTTAATAAGATAGTATATTATACATCTAAAATTTGAAATTTATGTTTTTATCACACCTTAAAAACATATCCATCAACTCACTGGTGTTTGATACATGTAGAGATACAAAAGAGCAAGCAGAAAAGGAGACCAATATTATACCCTTTCCCTCAACTGCATGTGACGTCATGGTAAGAGGCGATTCTAGACAAACAATTGTTACCCTTGGTAGGAGGTGCTTCCAAATAAGCCACCTACCCATCTTTGGCATTTGACTAAAACTGGAAGGGAACTTATTTCAACAATTCTTATTAACACAACATTCATCTAGTTTAATTTGTATGAAAGATTGCATTTCTGTTAACCAGTATTTTACTAAACATTTGTATAATGCTATGCTTTGTCTAAGCTAAATTTAAAATGGCAAATATCATATGGATTGAATAGCCATTGCAAGGGAGGAAAGGCACTGATTGATTTACGCATCCCTCTGTGTAGACCATATAATGACACTTGCTACATTAGTCGATTGTAATGATTACCATTCATCTAACCTATTTTGCAGACATTTAACTTTATTTTGACTATTTATTTTTCTACTATAACAGAGTAGTTAGCATAATTTTCAAATATCTTACCACCCCATATCAATCTACCTTTTTTAGGTTATTTTCCTATTTAGTTTTGTTCGCTCATTATTACAGCTTATTAATCATCTCCTAGTAATCCAGCAAGAAGTGTATCCTATAAAAGTTTCGTTTTCTTTATGCATTATGAAGTATACGTTTTCTTTGAACACTCTTCTGTTTGGGTATACTATTTTATATACTCAGATTGAATCCTTTGAATTATGAAAGCAAAATAAATAAATTATATGGAATATGATTATTTTTACACATACTGAGGAGATTTTGATAAATATGTGCCTGAAAAAATTGCACAATTTTTATCTATATCTTCAAGTGTTTATCATAGGTGTTACTATTACCTATTTATGGGGAAGACTCAAAAGTATAGAAAGTCTTGTAGTGTAATAGCTGTGAGCCAAGAGCGAGTTTATCATATTTATTTCCTTCTTTCTCCTGTCACTGGGTATTAAATTTGGGATGCCCGGGGCCACCGCTCCTTCGGCCCTCCCTCTGCTTGCCACCATATGTGATGGGTGAAAATGATGGTAATTTTGAGGTTGTGAAGAAAAATCCAAGGTTAATCAGTCTTACTCTAACAGAGACCGAGGCGCCCAAAAATGTACAAGTTAATGTACTTAACGGGTTGTAGAAAGTGGCAGAGGACTTCAAAGAATAAAATCTTTTTGGTTATTTATGTCATGAAAAAGAGCTCATTATACTGCAAACAAGAAAAAAATACCTATTTCCTATGCCAATAGCTAAACTCCACTATTAGATACCCTGGGAAACACAATCATGGGTTTGCTTCGAAAATGTTTATATTTTAAAATTAGGCCCGATCGAAGGAATCCAACTCGGATTCCCGGATTCACACTCGCGAACGGAAGGCGACACCAAAACATAACCTCTACCCCTGTTCCTGTCTTCCGTGGAGCCAGAGGTAAGCCATATGTCATTAGAATGTTCACGTGAGTTAATTGTGTCATGTATCAGAGGAGCTGGTCGGACGTTTAAGCTTTCATAGGCAAAGATTTGGTACTGGAAGTTTAGACAGAGCTGTAAATGCAGGACTTTTGAAATTTATTTGGAATTGTTGCCATATTAAGCACAGAAAGTAGGTATTCTGAGGTAAAGAAAGGCCGTGGAAAGTAGAACCAGTCTTATTACATATTCCGTAGTAAATTTGGTATAGATTCAGTTTCACACAGCCATATGGTGACTGGTTCTGTGTATATTATTCATAGATAATATTGAAGAATACTTTTGCACAACCGGTCGCAACCATTTTGATAATGATAGATTTTCTCTCAACGTCTAGTACATATATAGGTGTGTATGACTGAGAATGATACACCGTCCGTAGATGAAGTACCAAATCCAGAGTATCATGTGAATCTAAAACTAAACCTAGATGTTTTCTTAGTCTTGTATGTTGAGTCAGGATTCTAGTAAGACAAACGTCTAGTTTTCGGTTTTCAGAGCTGCCCCAGAGCTCTGGGGTGTTGTCTTTGAAGTGATAGTTTTTTGTGATCAGTCTTGTTTATCTGTTCTTCCCAATGTATTTGGTTTTTGCTTTTATATGTTATTATGTTGTTGGTGTCTTGGGTTATGCACGTCATGGTTGACTTGGTCATGGCTCTAGGTCATGTGTTATACACATCATTGGCCAGCTATGGCATGGCTCCAGGTGACTGGTCATTCACATCATGTTACAATGATGTGTGCATTACATTTTTGGGTGGTCTTCATAAGGAACCCTCATGCCCATGCCACATGCCTTAGAGCATTGCCTGAGGGAGAACAGGATATGTTATGGCAATGGATTTGCATCTGCCATAAACTAGTATCAATCATCTCTTAAGGAGCTTTTGTGTGTGGGTGTGAGTGCCCACAGGTATGGCTGGTGTGCTGGAGATCGACGGGGAAAACCAGGGTCTTGCTCTGCTGGAGGATCGTGAGTACTGAACCGAGACCTGATTGGTTGACACCAGACACCTCACGGCTCACCTATTGGACCGCAGGCTCCCCTCGTTCCCGGGTGGCTGGCACAGGTCAGCCCCACTTAAGCTCCGGTGCCCAGGCCGAGTTCAGCACTCACGATCCTCCAGCAGAGCAAGACACAGCAAGCAACACCTAGGCCTACCCAGGCCTCAGCTGTCAGGGGAGCCGCCTTGGCTCTCCGCATCGATCTCCAGCACACCAGCCATACCTGTGGACACTCACGCCCACATACAAAAGCTCCTTAAAGAGATGATTGACACCAGTCTATGGCAGATGCAAATCCATTGCCATACTGGTGACCCCAGAGTGACACAAATACCCAGCCTTCTGGAGTATCACAATTATTGCTCACTCGATTAGCTCCCTCATTGGAGGGGGAGTACCTGTAGCCGACCCCTGCAACCTGCAGCGCGGGTTGCAGGGGTCGGCTACAATGTAATGCTTTGATTGGCTATGTTTTCTATAAAGGGTGGACCTATGAGTAACCTACACACTACTTTACAAGATTACATGGTCTTTTGGTGCTCTTGTGACTGTGAAGACACTACTGGAAGTGTGACACAAAAAAAGGAAGTAGGCTACTGAAGCCATGGTAGTAGTAGCCTTGTTTACCACTGTAAACAATCTGTTATATCAGGAAAATAAGGTTTGCGAAAGTGAGTGAATTTTTTCTTTCTTTCTTTTTTCATCCTTCAATACAGCCATATTCCATCTTGTACACATGGTGTAACCTACCTTATTTATTGGACTCTGTTGTAGATAATCAGGCTCCTGCAGGTTTTATATAGCAATTGAAATCCATATCATGCATTTCTGGATATGCAAAAACATTAAAATCATGTTTTGCAAGCAAGTGATTTAAGAAAAAATCACTTTGTCGATGTGGCCTGATGAGTGCTGAAAATGGCCCCAGAGGCACGCCCAGTCGGCCACACACACTCCCCATAGCGGAGGCCAAGTGAACCCTATATTCTCCTGTAGGCAATGGGTACACTAGACTTTCATTTTGATAGCTTTTAGTAATTACAAACAGTGATTAGAAAGAAAACATGAAAAGAAGATTACTATTTTTTAAGAAAAAAAAAGTAGGCCAGTGTCAGTAGCAATGATATGTAAAAATATTGCTGTATCCTGTATCAAGGCTCCCTACCTATTATGTTGAAAAGGGAGGTAGTTGATTGTCATACCTGCAGATATTAGCAATAAGAAAAACACTCCATATTGTACATAATAAATTACCAGATATTTATTGCTTTAGTGGTGTCAAGATACATTAATTAAAATTTTCTTCCAGATACCCATAGGACAAGATCTGCATGCGATCCAGAATGGCAGGCATTACCAAGAAATTCATTGGTAAGAAACAGTAATATCAGTAGGCTAAACTTGATATTTTAAAGAATAGATATTGTTATCTTTTATTTTATAATGTGCTTCGGTGATGCTCTCTTTTTTCACTTTGAATAGTTTTAGGTATTGATTACTGTCTTATGGTTTAAATTAAGGAAGTAAAACCTACTGATATGCATTAATCTGTATGCTAAAATACTTTTATGATTATTACAGTGTGACAGTGTTGTCTATTTTTTGCTGTTTTATATGTTAAATCATACGTATATTTTAGAGTTTAATTCATTAAACTATATCATTATCCTTCCCATGATGTAATAACCTTTAAAATGTGTATTGGTGATAATCAGTCTCATTTTTGTTTGACTGATAAGAAGCTATAGTCCATATGCATCATTAACTGTATGCATTTTGTGATGGAATAGACTATGAATGTTAAGATTGTTTTATTAGAGGACATGCAAAATATTGTCATCATTATTTGTAAGGTTTCAAATAATACTTCTGCTAAATTGTGAGTTGTGTTTTATCTCTTGACATAAAAAGTTTGGAAGAGCATTAAACAAAACTTGCTCTTTTACCAGTGAAAATTCTGGGGTACAAGCAATAGGACCAACCATTATCTTAAATGATTTCAAGGGAGAAGCAAAATCATATGCATATTTAGTCTAGGTCTTTTTTTTTTCAGGTTCTTTTTCAGATATAGTAAATTCCTATTACCTGCAACAGTTCAAATTGTACAGTAAGAAGGTACCAGCAGTTCTCATCATATGGAATATGAATAAGTTATGGAGAATGTTCCTCCATTTTAAAACCAGGAACAGTAAAACTAATCCAAGCATATTCCAACAGGTGAGGACAGAAGAGGAAAAGAAAGAACTTAAATGGATTAATAAATCTCGAGACTCTAGCATGGATCAACTGTCACTGACAGAGTATTCAGGAGGATGTTCAAGGACACACAATCCACCAGCAACACACCAAACCCACCAGCCCCTTCAAGAGAATCATTTTGTGCCATTTGCCCATGAGACACACAGTTTTATACAGCCATTAACACTGTCACAGTCATCTGCATTTGTGCAAGCCAAGATTAATTCTCAACATCCTTCACTGTGTAGTAATGACACTGATCAAGCAATCCTTGATATAAACAGCTGTGCTCAGGTCTGTGACCGTAATGTATTACATGGTACAAGCCCCATATCAAATCCTATAAATGATTTGAAAAATGACTTGACAGTAAATGAAGTGGACAGTACTTCAAAACAGGAGACTGCTGGAAGAGAGCAGTGGAAGAAAAATATTAGAAAGAAAATGAAAAATCTAGGGAAGAGTTACATAACACAGAATGGGAAGAAAGTAGGTGATAAAGTTTTCAAGTCAATTAGCCAATGTTGCTGTCAGCAATGCTTTAAGAACTTAAGTTTAAAGGATCAGGAAAATATATTTACCTCATTTTGGAGCATGGGTAACTGGAACAAGCAAACAAAGTTTATCTGGGAACATACTGAGATTAAAACTAAAGCCAGGAAAACTTTAGACAGGTCATCAAGGCGAGTCCATACTAGACATTTTTTCTTGCCAGATTGTTCTGGAAATAAGGTTAAAGTTTGCAAAACAATCTTTCTTTCTTTACTTCAGATCTCTAATGGTCGTTTAAGTTACTCTCTCAGCAAGAAACTTATTGCTGTAAATGATGAAGAGCCTCAAGATAAGAGAGGGTTACAGAGTCCCTCAAATAAGACTCCTGCCAAAGCTGTAAGAGATGCAGAAGAATATATACAGTCAACATCATATTACAACATAAAAAAAGATTCTGGTGCTAAAATGCTTATTGTTCCACAGGGAGTAACGATTAGAAAGTTATATGCAGCATATCATAGAAAGTTTGTTGAATCTGGTAAGTTAGTTATCAGTCTGAAATTGTTCAGGAAGCTGTTGCCACCTATCTTGAAAAAAGATGCCTTAAATATGACTTTTATATTTAGCAAGCAAACAGGTGAATCATCTTGCATAGGTTATAACAATTGTCCAACTAACAAGACAGTGATAATGAAGGAAGGAGTGACAATGTGGAATGAAAAAGGAACTTTCCCAGAAAAGCTTTCAAAGAATGAGACTGACACAAAGCAAAGTGTAACACCAATTCAGGGTGCAAAAGATGTAGAATTCAATACACATTCCATTATGCATAATGAAAATTATTTGTCATCAACAAATAATCCTGCAAGGAACTGTAATCAGAAACTGTGGAAACGCAATATTTCAAAGGACCTTAGGGACCGAGGAAAAAGCTACATGTCCTCGTCTGGAAAGATAAACCAGGGAAAAGTGTTTTTACCACAGTATTCTTGTTGTATAAGTAAATGTCATGAGACTTTCCCAGCTGAGCAACAAGAAGCTCTTTTCAAGAAGTATTGGGCCTTGGCTTCTTGGAATTTACAGACTAAATTCCTATGGGACCACATACAAGTTGTTCAAAAAAAGGTGAACACAGCCAAAAGTGATGATTCACGGCGTATTCATACCAGGATATTTTTTCTTCCAAATAATGATGGTGAAAAAAGAAAAGTATGTAAAATTCTTTTCTGTGCAACACTCCAGGTATCAAATGGCAGGGTTTCTCGTGCAGTTTGCTCAAAAATGGTTGATCCTTCTCTACCTCCTCAAGATAAAAGGGGTAAAAGTGCTCCACAGAACAAAACAACCATAGAAAATGTTTCATTTGCTTTGGATCACATTAATCAGTTATTGCAGCATAACAGTTGTCTTCAGTCTACCTCCAGGAAGTGTAGTCTAATAAATGATATGAGTAAAAAGAAGGCCCATGATATGTTCAAGAATTCTTGTTTCGAATATGGAAAGAAACCTCTTTCTTACACTGTATATTGTCGTATATTACGTGAAGATGCTTACTGTCCTGTTGAAAACATTAATTCAGGAAAGAAAGAAGATAGTTGTACCTGATTATATTTTTTATATTTATTTTATAAAATGTCATTATGAGGAAAAAATATTTTATTGTTATTACTTTATTAGTGCTAAATTTGTCTACATTTATATGATGTTTGTAAAGTTATAATTATAAAGTTTTTATGTGGATACCTGAATTTCTATGTTTTGTTCTATATCCTTGAAATTTACTGGAGAACTTGATCATGACACAACTATTTATGGCAGTATTGGTCAATGCATATTTTAGAAGCTGGCATAAACAGTCCCCCAAAATTTGAAAGTCAGTGGAAAGAAGTAAAATCAAACTGTTGTTCATAACTCTTGTGACCAAAAAAGTTTGCCTGATGCTGACCATTTAGTTTTTCAGGATGTAAAGGTTTACATATTACATATCTTTTCTGAAAAGTACACTAATCCCATAATTTTACAGATTTCAGTGAGAATAGATGTTATGTTGTTTATATTTCACAGAGCTAGGTAATGAAGAAAAGCATTAAAAAAATCCACAAACAAACTGCTTTCATGAAATGTCAATATCATCATTTTGCAAACAAGTAATGAGTTTGGAGAGTTGATCATTAGCTTTAGAATGATAAAAAATTAGAAAGAATATGCCCACATTTCATCTGAATACAGTATGATAGGAAACATCAACAAAGTATTTCTGAGGAATTTTTACACAGTTGTGTATATTCAGATTCTGAAAGATCGACAAACCAGGAAGATATACTTGATAGGCTGCTTATTTTGTATTGCATAATATAATTGCATAATATTTTGTATTGCATGTATCATGACTGATCCTTTTCAGTACTACATGTTGATCATACAGATAGGAAATGCAGTTGTTCAAAGTCTTCATCAGATCAGTTTTATATTTCTCAATATTGTGAATTTTATTTCAAAGTTGTTTTCAGAGAATTGTTAACAAAATATAGCATACAACCTGTCCAATTGAAGTTAATGTTCAAACAATTTATACAAAGTATTTTAATTAAATATTTTGTGTTGTTCAGATAAGACTACAGAGTATAATTAACATTATTTATCCAGTTCCCTTTTTCTACTACTAATTCAGATGTTGGTTTTAAGAAATATAAATTATCTTTCTTGAATCCTTCTTTCATTACTAAAGAGTCTTGGATCTGAAAATTTTGTTGTTGTTGTTTCAAGTATGTATAATGACATTGTTAAACTAAAGTCCCTATATTGCAAAATTTCCAACAGAAATTGAGATTCCATCTGCTTACACATTAATAGCTATATCCACCATTCATTAACTTAGTGCCCCTGGGAAAATGTGTTCACAGTAATTCTGTTTTGTGAAGTGTCTCTGCACATGGATGACTTTCACAAAGATAATGCATTTCTTAATCTCATTTAATTTTCCCTTTACCTTGAGTTTTCTGGCTTTTCTTTTGATGATACTTATTATAATTTTTTAATATTATCATTACTAATGGTAATATAGGATGAAAGAGAAAATTTCCAAAAATCAAGGAAAAGGGTAATCAGGTGAGATAGGTTGCCCTAGTATTCGACTCCTTGGTGACTAAGCACTTGTGGAGCCATTTATCTTTAAAGACAATTAATCTAAACTGATGTTGATTATGGCATGTATGTATATGCCATCCCTGGCATATACATAGTTAAATGATGGAAATAGAAAGAAACTATATTTTTGGTTAAAGTCACTTTATATAGCAACAGTTTTATGATAAGGAAAAATAAGAACCAAAAATTTTGGTATAACAACAAAGGTATGATTTGTGAATGAATAATTATTTGTTTTAGATGCTATAAAATTACTGTTACCATTCAATTTATTAATGTCCGTCATGTAATGTTATACATATGTAGTCACAGTAGAAGCTAAGGATAGATAAAATTGATCTGTTAACAACTTTTTAGGACTTCTTGTTGAATAACCTTTTTTTTCAATTATTATTCAACCTTATGAATATAACAAAAGCATCTTTTATGTTTATTAGTCAGTGTCCTTAATCATTCTTTATTGACAAACACTAGTGGATTCACCCAACCTTTTCCTTATGCAATATTTACTAGGTTTGATTATATTAAGCCTTAATTTGCTCATTGTTTGGAACCTAATATTTGATTTATTATCTTGAACTGGTAGTGTAGGGCCCTAAAAGTTATTTTTTACCTCACTCAGTAATTGAGATTCAGGGAAATAAATAAATAGTGGCATTATGAAGTAAGAATTTTTCTAAGTACATCTACATGCATTGAATATCAGAAATCAACTGCAAGGGTGGATAAAACTGAAACAAAGCTATCATACTTGTTCCAAACAAGAATGCAAGATGAGCATAGGGACCTTACTGGTGAGCCAAATTCTACTTCCCATTCTAATTTTAACCACAGCTGCTTCCAGTTATATGAGTAAGGTATACTATGTATAGAGTAAAAGCTACCATTATTTACCTACATTCTCACAGTATATTGACATTAAAAGAAGCCATTTTGTAAATGAATGGTAAGTGCATTTTTTCTGGTGGACCTGAAAAAGTTCTGTCAATAATTTGTGTTACAGATATCGGGGCTAATCTGACAGATGAAATGTACCAAGGTGTTTACCATGGTAGCAAAAAGCACGAGCCTGACTTGGAGCTTGTGCTTAAGCGAGCATGGGAGGGTGGATTAACTAAGATGATTATTACTGGCACAAGTCTCTCTGACTCCAAGACTGCACTGGAACTTGCCAAGACAAATAGTAAGTACACTGAAAGTCATTCATTTTAATTAGATACAAATGATTTAAAAAATGGGAATTATGTTTGAATGTAAGCCATTTGAGACAAATTTGATCATGACAATATATAACAACAGAAATCTGTAAATATCAGAGAGAAGATGATTGAGAAAATAATCCCTTAGTGCCAAATTCCAATGAATTACAGCCCTTTGATAAAACTGTATCTTGTTAATGACTTTTACCTTAAATCAACAGATAATCTATATAGCACAGTTGGCTGTCACCCAACTCGCTGTGGAGAATTTGAAAAGGATGACACAACACCAGAAACATATTTAGAAAACTTACTGCAATTAGCACTAGATAACCGACAGAAAGTTGTCGCCATTGGGGAGTGTGGATTAGATTATGACCGCACTCAGTTTTGTGCTCCAGAAATTCAGAGAAAGTAAGTGTATTACTGATTGTATGTTTTCCTGAAGAATGTGCATTTTTCTTCATGTATTCAGTCTCATTTTAACCCATTAGTCACAGATGTCATCATATGCATGCCATATCCATTGTATTTTAGTTTATGAATTGAGTTTACACATAGAAGGCTGCACTGGTACTTAGCCACCAAGGAATCAATTATATTTCCACCCTATCTCACCTGTTTACACTTTTCCTTAATTTTCAGAAAGATTCTGTTTAATTTTTTATTGTAAGTAATATATAGTAGTGTCAGCACTATTCGCACTAGAAAAAAAGACATTCCAAAAAATCAAGGAATGGCAAAATTAGATGAGGTCACTAGTTCTTTTAATTGACTCCTTGGAAGCTAAGCATGTGTAAAGCTATCTGTGTTCTACAAATTTCACAAAAAAAAACTAGAGTGGACAGTTTATAAAACTTAATCCCAGGTGTTGAAATAATGTTTTATAGCATATTGTCAGTTGCACTGGCATGGTTCAGGATATATCTCAGTATTTTGAGAGCTAAGTGCCTTTGAATATTTATGAAATTAAGTAAAAATTTGCATGTTAACAGCCTTCTTGCAATATTTTGAATTAACTTAGGTATGATATTGGATGTCCATGTGTGGATGGGTCCCTTCGAAGGTAAAATTGATATTGATTTTGTAATATTAATGGTAATAATTACATTACGCAGTAAAAGAAATACATTGAATCTGAGACAATTTTTTTTTTTTTTTCTTGAAATTGTGTCATTGATTGCCTTTCAGGAGTAGTACAGAATTACTTTGTTTACTTTCTACTATCTACAGTTTGTTCACTTCACATATTACCTTCCCGTCACACACTTTAGTCTATACATATATTTGTGAACAACAGTAATTTCACTAACAAATCCATTGTAGGCATTTGAAAGTGGCTTTAAAATGTTGGCAAGATATCACAGTATCAATTAACAAATGTCAAAGACAATTTTAGTCTTTATTGTCTACAAAAAACAATCAGAATTTTGGTAAATATTGCCTAACTTTGGCTCCCATAGTTCCCAGTCCCCTTAGGCCTGGCCAAACAGTGATAAACCTTGACTTGGGTCTGGTTCCATTATTATAATCTTGAAAATTATTTAGGAAGCTCCATATGCTTTGTTACCATATTATTATTAATTCTATTTTAATAAATGATAATAATGATATTCACCATAGAGTTCTCAGTTCACTTTCATCGAAAGTACAGATTAAATGGCTTACAAGACATTTTCTGTACAAATTTGAAAAAGTGTACCCAATAGGCATGTAGATTTAAGAAAGTACACAAAAAATTACCTTCATGAGATAGCACCTTTAGTTAAAATAATTGCCAAAGAGCATCCAGTCTTTTCCCAGACAGCAGTAGATAAAGAATATAGAATGAATTATGTTTTACTTGCCTGAGATCTTTGATAAAGGGATTTACTTATAAACAGTGACCTTAGAAAACTGTATGACTGCAAGAAGCTAATTTTTTTTCCTCTTTTTTGCAGATATTTTGAAGAACAAATCAGTTTGGCAGAAGTAACTGGCTTGCCTATGTTTTTACACTGCAGAAACTCTGCTGCAGACTTGGTGAAAATTCTTTCCAGTCACAGGGAAAAGATTAAAGGTGGAGTTGTTCACTCCTTTGATGGAACCAAAGAGGAAGCACAACAGATTATGGATTTAGATTTGTATATTGGATTGAATGGATGGTAAGGTTGTTTGTTTGTTTTATAGTATAATTGTGATGAATGAAGCAAAGTCTTTTCTTCTGAAACACATTAATTAAATTAAGTTATTGGGTCATAAGCAGAAGCAGAGGATGTTTTAATGTACTAATATTCATACTCCAGTATATATGACCTTTAATATATGGACTAAAAGCATTGTCATCATTTTTATAGGTCATTCCATTTCTTTCTAACAGCTCTCTCAAAACTGCAGAGAATTTAGCAGTCGCAGCCTCAATACCAGCAGAGAGGTTAATGATTGAGACTGATTGCCCATGGTGTGAGATCCGTCCAACACATGCAGGTCACAAGCATGTCAAAACTACCTTTCCAAACAAAAAGAAGGAGAAATGGGAGTCTGGAGTTATGGTCAAAAGCAGAAATGAGCCAAATTGTATTGTGTGAGTATTATGTTTTGCCACTGTGATGAGTTTATTATTTTCCACAAGTAACAAGGAAAAAGACATTTATTTTTGCTTATTTTTTCTCTTTGTTTGTGTCTTGTTTGTTTTCATCTGTGTCTGTGTTCTTATACCTAATCTTATGATAAAAATTCTCATTGGAAACTTATAACGGTATTGATAAATGCCATATTGGATGAGAATACATCATGTACAAGTTATTTCTATTTTGTATTGTTACATTACTGATCTTGTAATCCGTTAATTGTTTATTAGGCTTGATCATAAAAGTGGTTAAAAGTTTTATTGATTTTTCTCATAATCTAATCTTTTACAGCCAAGTCCTGGAGGTGTTAGCTGGGATAAGGGAAGAAGATGCAGATATGTTAGCTGAGACATTTTTCAAGAACACACAAAAGCTGTTCTTTAATTCTGAAAATGTTTGAAATTGCATGGATCGTTATTAAATATGTCAGGAATAGTATGTTATAATTTTCCTACATATACATAGTGTTTTGTTGGGAATCTGTATTTAATTCACATAATACCTGTATGCCCTGGTGTTGCAGCACATTATGAATTTTGAATATAGAATAAACAATGGGTGTAAGAAAATAAATGTTCCTAAAATCGTATGATTCCACACACACTTTATTAAATAACTCCCATAGCCACATACTCACTCGCATGTAATATTTTCATGTGATTTATTTGAAGACCGACAATCAACCTTAAATCTATAATAGATCATGCCTGCAGCATTTAGAATATTTGTTTGATATTAGTATAAGCGCTTATAAAAGGTACAAGCTAAATATGGCCACTTCATGATAATAGATAGATGCCAAATATGACCCCTAAATCTTATATGGTCGTTCACCCACATGATCCCTACCAATAGCTTGCTTCTTGTTGCCATGGGAGTGCTTACTGACAACTCTAACCAGTCCAAAACACCCACCCAGGTTATTACTCAACCTCCAGAAAGCACCCCTTCCTCTCTCCCAACATTCCTCTCTCTATCTCCTATTGCACAGACATCTTCAATGTATACCCCCTCTTCCCTTATTACTAATCTTCCTTATTGTCCTCCTCCCCACAGAACTACTCCACTCCACACCAACCCATCTTCCTCTCGCCCTTGTCCTTTTACTGCCTCCACCTCTGCAAACCTTTTGAGTACTCTCTTTGGCCCAGCCAAGTGGGATCGATTCTTTGTGTAAATCCAGCGTAAATCCCATGTCAATATTGCCAAAATTTGCTTCCATAGACATGACCTCCCCCATGAAGTTTATATTAGTGGATTGTCCTACCATGTCCGATCCCTTCCTCGTCAATGTCAGAAATGGCGTTTTGGCCACCCAGTCATACACTATCACTCCACAACCCGCTGCCTTCTATGTGCCCGACCTGGGCATGACCGTTCAAATTGCCCTGCTCAGTCACGTACATGTGCCAATTGTGGAGACTCCCATAATGTATTTTATAGGAGTGGCCCTGCCCAAAAGATCGAATGTGAGGTAGCAGTCAAGATTCAAACTGGAGAGAGGCCAGACAAGAAGCACGCCAACAAGGTTTTTCTCTCTCTTTTTCTAAAACAGATCTTCACTCAGCTCCCCCAAAATCTTCACAAGATGTTTCTCCATCTCCCCCAGTATCTCTTACCTATACCCTGAACCATCCTACCTCTACTCACCCTATCCCCCAGTCCAATTCGTTTTCCAGTCTAAATCCAGATACTCCAATCTCTAGCACTTCCCTGATACCTACCCCTTCTCCTTACTTTATTTGTCGCACCAGGCAACCTAAAAGTTCCACTCCACCCTATTCTACATCTTTCTCTTCTTCTGCTCCTCAGATATCTATCTCCTTCTCTCACAAGAGAACCTTTGTTTTTCAGTCCTCTTCACCCAGCTCCCCTCCAGAATCCCCTGAAGACATCCAAAACTTTCTAAAGATGACCCAAGGAAACACTCCGCTCCTTCATCCATCCCACAATCCCTCTTCCTACTGCTCCTACATTTAAAATATTTGCAGATTTCCCTCCTCATCCTCAAGTTCCCTCCACCCCCTTCCTTCTACACTCTCCCAACATACCCCACCCTCTCTACCGCCCCCACCTGAGTACTCAGACGAATCCCCTCAATCACTACAGTGTCCTTCTCTCAGACATTCTTCCCAATACTTTACCACCTTCCCCAGTTCCCCTTTCTCATCCTCCGAATTCTTCTCCTC